CGGGGCCTTAGGAAACGCTCCGGCGGAGGGGTGTGGGCGAGCCCCTCTGGAAAGGCTTCCGGCAGGCGTATTCTCACTGCCCCTGGGAGCTCTGGCATACGGTGGGAACAGCCCTCTTGCTGCATGGCTGGGCCCCAGCTGGTGCCCCGAGGGGCATGCAATGGCCACTCTCCTCACTCTGGTCTTTGCCAGCTCCCAAATCAGACATGCCTGGGACAGCACCAAATCCGTGGCTCAGAACCTGGCTGAAATGGGCCTGGCTGCAGACCCCAACAAGGCGGTTCCCATCCGGAAGAGGCAGCTACCGGTAAGCCCAGCCCAGCCCATTTCTCCCAAGAGCCTGAACCGCACCAAGCAAGGAGAGAGGGATGGAAAAACCAGCACCCAGCTTTATGGTTTCCCTTGTCTGGCAACACTCCCCAGTGCGGCTGGGTCACTGGCGATTCTCCAGGGCACGTGGATGCCCAGTCGCAGTCGGAGCCCTACTAGATCGGCTGAGGTGCTAGAAAACATGGCCCGCCTTAGCCCCTGGCTGTGGACCCACGAGGTCTGCCAGGCCTCAATTCTGCCAGGCGCTGCGGAGTTTGAGACGGGAATTTGCTCGCCAGGGCAGTGGGGTCAGCATGGAGACGCTCCACGGGGCTCTCGGGCAGAGACTAGTGCGGGGTGCCCCTTTGGTAAAGCACGTGCTGGGGGCCAGAGTCGGCAGAGCAAATACCGTCCCACTAGGCTTGTGATCAAGACTCTGCCGGCAGCCACGGTGTTGCTGTCTACGTGGCCGCTGGCTCGACGGCAGCCACACAGCGGGAGAAGTGACCGTCAAGGCGGCTTTTTGAACTCCCCTCATGGCGGTTACATGGCCTGGAAAATGTATTTAAGCCGGTCACTGGGGAGTGGCTGGGAGGGCAGGAGCAGCCCCCAAACCGGTGTGTGAGTGCACGAGCCCCAGATGACTGGTGTTCTCTTGACCTGTCCTGCCTCCCATTCGATGCAGGTGATGGGAGTGGAGGGGGCTGGCCAAGAGGAAGGGAAGAGAATCGTGCAGAAGCCTTACGTCCTGGCTGGTGGGTACCATCTCCTCTGGCTCTGAGGCTGGGCCCAAGGGCTTTCTGCTGCAGCCCACCAGAGTAGGGATATGCAGCCTCTGGGCCACCGAGCCCCTTTCACGCAAACTGGGGCAGCTCTCAGGCCCCCGGGGGCGGCGGTAACGTGCCCGCCGCTGGGCAAAGTGTGGGAGTTTGCTGTGCCACGTGCACCCTCGGCTCCAGGTTACGGATCCCCCGGTGCCATGACGCCGGGCTGTGTTCCCGGAGCGCTGCTGCTGCTCACGGCTGTCTGAAGCACTCTTCTTGTGCGCTCCCAGCCGCGTGCGGCCGAGCTGGGGAACAGCCTGTGTCGTGTTGGGCCTGGTGGTTAGGGAGACGGTCTCCTGCTGTTGTAGGAGCTGAACATTGGCCCTGCTGGGTTACAGGGTTCATTAGCCCGTGAACGTTTCCATCCTAAGCCCTTCGCATGTCCGTCTGGCAAGTGCCAAAGGCCCTTGTTCTGCACTGCCAGCTTCTGGGCCGGGCTAGGGATTGAATAGCTGTCCCGGGGTGCATCCTGAGTGCTCCCCATGACTCTCCCTCTCCTGCCTGCTCTCACACCTGAGCACTGGAGCTGGCCCTGCGATGCCCACACATACCAAGGCTTTGTAGAAATTAGGGATGTTAAAGCGGGTGATGGAGGAGCCGCTGACTCATCAGGAGCTAGTGCACACTGGGAACCTTACGGGCTCCTGTCTGCAGCCCTGCTCCCCCACACGGCAGTGCAGATAGCAGCTGGCTTCCCAGGAGCGTGTAACCTTGCTCGGTAACCGCTAAGCCCAGACTTCTCGGTTGCCCGTTTAAAGGGTTAGACGATTACACCCCCAGTAGAACTGTGCATGGTTCTGCCTCTTGCCCCCTTGCATCACTGGGTCTCTCTCTCGTGGCGGCCTAGAGCTGGAGTACGAGGCCAGCCTCCCGGAGAAGAAGTCAGAGACGCTCTCCAGAGACCTGATTGAGTACGTGCAGCACATGATACGGAGACTTCTCGGTTGCCCGTTTAAAGGGTTAGACGATTACACCCCCAGTAGAACTGTGCATGGTTCTGCCTCTTGCCCCCTTGCATCACTGGGTCTCTCTCTCGTGGCGGCCTAGAGCTGGAGTACGAGGCCAGCCTCCCGGAGAAGAAGTCAGAGACGCTCTCCAGAGACCTGATTGAGTACGTGCAGCACATGATACGGAACCACGGCGTTGCCAGGTGTTCAGTGTCCTGGGGCCTGCCTCCTGCTGTCAGGGAAGTGGCTCTTTGAGTCCCCTGGCTGGCATGTGACTCCCTTTGGGCTGCATGAAGCTTGGTCCCAGCCCCACGCTGTGTGGAGCTGGCTGCAGAGGTGCTCGTCCTTGAGCTGTGCAGGTCTCCGGCAGGTCCGCTCCATCCCCCCCAGCGAGGCAGCTTCCCTGACTGTCCCCTTGCCCCCAGGCGATGGCCCGGGATGAGAAGAACTACTACCAGGACACGCCCAAGCAGATCAAGAGCAAGATCCGTGTGTACAAGCGCTTCTACCCCCAGGAGTTCCAGGCTTTCACTGCAGCCCTGCAGCCGGAGAAGATGGACCACCAGTGACTGCCCCACCCTGGCCTGTGGGACCCCCCACCTCCGGGCACGCAAGGGCAGACTGCCTCTGCTCTGCGGGGGCCCTGGGGCCTGTGAACAGAGCACTGAGCTAGACGTGGCTTGTGGGAAGGGCCCACCCTCTGGGAAAGGGGAGCATGCGAGAAGGGCTCCGTGGGGCGGCGCCGCTGGGCAGAGGGCCGCTGTCTCTGCACGCTGGGGGTGAAGGGACGAGGCTCGTGTCCTGCAGCTGTGACTTGTAATAAATCAAACTCTTCCAAACCAGCAGGAACATACCTGCCTGCGGCTGGCTCCGAGCCTTCAGCTCCTGCCTGGGCTCAGGGGACCCCTGGCACTAACCCAAGGCAGCCAGTTCCTGGGGCCTGCTCTGGCTCTTCATGGGGGCACAAGCCACGTGGCTGGGCAGTGGTGGGGCTGGGTTGTTTTCAGTCTGCATGCAGGAGTGCGCAGGGCTTCGCTGCTGGCTGCTATGGGACACTAGCCCCGGCCATGGGAGCCGAGGCTGGCAGGGTGCTGCTGTTCCCAGTGCTGCACGTCCACTGCCGGGCGCCCTCCTACCAGGGATGCGCAGGCCTGGTGGGTCGGGAGCCAGTGACCAGCCAGTTGTGCAAACTTGCTTGCTACAGGTTGGACCTCCCTGGTCTGGCACCCTCGGGGCCTGGGCCATCCTGGACCAGGGAAGGTCACGGCTCCCTGCCCTGCTAACTGGTCTGGCCGAGACTCCCTGCCCTGCTGTGCCAGGGTTCCTAGGGGTTCCCCAGCAAGGGCCACCAGCCCCGCTAGCTCTGGCAGGAGCCCATTAACCCCAGGGAGGGAGCCCTGCTTGCAAGGACCCTGCTCCCTTCACACCAAGGACAGACGGTTCCCCAGCAAGGGCCGCTTGGCTGCCACCAGCCCCGCTACCTCTGGCAGTCCCTCGGCGTGCCCCAGGCCACTGCTGTGTCCCTGCCCTCTGCTGCTGAGGGTTTCCTGGCTGGCACTGGCCCTGCTTCTAGGGACTCTCCAGCCCTGTGACATCAGGGTTCCCTGGGGGGGAGGAGGCTCCCCAGTGCCGCCTGGCCCCGCTGACAGTGAGGTTCCCCTGCCTGGTGGCTGCTGGGACTCTGCAAACCCTGGCTGGCTCCTGGGGCCCTTTGGGCCAGCGAGGCCTGTGCTGGAGCAGAGTCCTGGGTGTGGGAGGCTCAACCTATGGGCTGCGTCTGCACTGTAGGCGTCTTGGCAAGAGCACAGCCACACGGGCATGTGCTTTTGTGCAAGAGCGTCCCTGGCAGTGTGGACGCTCCCTTGCCCAAGAAAGCTCCCATGGCCGTTTTAGCCACAGGGGTTTCCTGTGTAAAACTCCTGCTGCCCGTCCACACTGCCCTCTTGTGCAAGAAGCCCTCTGTTCAACACTTCATTGTGAATGTACTTGTGCAAGAATGCGCCTGCAGCGTAGACGCTCTGAGTGTTTGCACAAGGATGGACATTCTTGTGCAAAAAGCCTGCAGTGCAGACGTAGCCATAGCGTGCGGCCACGGCCCAGCAGTCAGGGGAATCCTGAGGCTTGAGAGAGAAATTCTCACAGCAGGCCTGACCTGGTATCTGATCAGCTGCTGATGCTTCCTATGGGACAAGTGTCCTGAGTGGTTAATACCAGACTGGTAAACCATTCAATCACTGGTTTATTATCGCATGCTCCAAGGAGGCCTGGGGCGGTCCCTCTCCTCAGGCTCAGTAGCACCCGCCCCTCCTGTGGGTGCCTGTCACAGCCAGGGGAGTCACCTGCCTGCAAAGCCTTTTAGGGGACGTGAAGAGTCCCTGTGAGGGGGGAGGGAAAAGCTGTCCAAAGGGGCTCCCCCTCCCCATCCCTCCATGGGCTGAAGTTGCCCTGGCGATCCAGCTCCAAGGAGAGACAAGATGCCTCCTCCCCCAGGCAGTGCTGGCAGCAGAGGGGCCGTTCCCACCCTGGAACATGGGCCCCGTGTGGCCAGACTGGCTTGAGGGGCCTGTTCCCAGCAACAGCAAGGC